TTAATAATTTGTAGAAAACTACAAAAAAGTGCAACAAATTTTCACATAAATTTCAAACTTTTTTCTCGGAAGTGTTAGAATTTTTTTGAGTACACAGTTTTTAGCCCCTGCAATTTTAGTCTGATAATGTGCAAATTTGAAGTGGCTACGAATTACCGTTTATTTTTTAGAATTTTTTTGGTCGCATTGGCTTCCATATAATGAATAAACTCTATTTATTTGTATATGGAAGAAATCCGCAACACCTTTGGCGAAAAAAATTCTAAAAAATCAATGGTAACTTTTAGCCACTTGAAACTTGCACATTATCAGACTAAAATTGAAGGGGCTAAAAAACTGTGTACTCAAAAAAATTCTTACACTTCCGAGAAAAAAGTTTGAAACTTAGGTGAAAATATGTTGCGTTTTTTTGTAGTTTTCTACAAATTGTTACACTTGGGTTTACATGGGGTTTGTCTGAGAACGAACTGTATTTTAATTGAAAATTCCTAAAAATAAATAAATACACATAAGTGGAACACAATATCGCTTTGAAATGGCGTGCTATAGATATGACCGATACAGTATATATAAAAACTATTTAATCTTTAGGAATATAATGTCAACAGAGTAGGACGTGTTTTTGCGTGCTCCTAAATAATTGCATTTATCTTCGGAAATACTGAAATTTGCCAAAAGTCGCTGCTTTACCGGTGAACGTGTGTGCTGTGTGTTGTTTTTTTGCCGATACCTGTGCAATAAATTACATGTCCTGTATTACCGCCCGCTGTAGCTGAAAGTTAAATAAGCAGAATAGCAAAATATCAAAAATGTCGGTAACGCGGAAAAATTCAACAAGAAAACCTGCATCCCCCTCTAAAACTCCTCTCACTCCCGCATCAGCTGTATACGACAGAATGGAGAAGAAATTTGAAGAACAGAGAGACGAAATCGTAAAACAGTTGACTGCAGTAATGATGGCATCAGAAGAGAGGGTAATGCAGAAGATTGGTGAGCTGGCTGCTGAAGCGGCAAACTTGAAACTAACGATAGCAGCAATCGAGAAAAGAGTGACTGCAGTAGAGAACGCGTGCGCTGATGCTCTCACTCTTCGTAGTGAGTTGATTGCAACTCAGGCTCAGCTAAGTCATATATGTAATACTCCTATATTGGCAGTAAGAGCTAGTACCGTCCGAAAACACTACAGTACAGATATATCAATAAACACGTACGAAAGAAAAGGAACACACACGTTTATAAATAAACATGTACACAACCCATATACAAAAACGGCACTCAAGTATACAATTCATTGACAAAAACTGTACTAGACTGTCTCGCTTTGATTTCGGAATGCTTACACATTGAGAAGTTAGCTTACTGCCAATATAGAAGTATTACATATATGAGCTAAGTACTCTTGAAGGCAGCGCTGTTTCAACAGATCTGATAATCAACGGAATACCTCAAACAGCTGGTGAGTGTTTGCCTGAACTCTTTTCGAAGATTTGCAGTGCGGCTCAGCATAAACCTCTACCTTTGCGTGATGCTTTTCGGCTGCGGAATGCAAAAACTAATGGACAAAAAAATACTAGTGTTTGTCCAATTGTTGTTAAGCTGTTCTCTGCACCTGATCGTAATCAGCTCTTAAAATCTGTTGCTGTGTTCTGCAAGAGTAGAAAGAGATCTCTTGCGCTCTCTGACATTGACTTGCCGGGTTACGGTTCAGTCTTTGTGTATGAAGGTCTACCAAAAAGCTGCGTGAAGTGATGACATTTGCCTCTGAGCTCAGGCGGAAGAAACAGTTAGCGTCGGCGTTCTCCTTACGCGGGAAAGTTTTTGTGAGGCTTAAGGCAGGTGAAGAGGCTAAATTGGTGAGCAGCAAAACTGAGGTGAATGCTCTTATCGGCAATAGAGCGCAGAAATAGAAACATGAAATTTATATATGTTTGTCAGGAAATTTGTTCTTTATGCTATATTTAAGTTATTGGAGTCATTTAGTTACATATTTTTTTCTTTCTCTTTGCGGCCAATTCTCTTAAGTAGTTATTTGTTTACCTTTTTGTTTCTATGTTTCAGGCTGGTTTTCTTGACTTATTGTTATTTTCATTTGTTCTCATTACTCCTTTTTTCTTGTTTATTTTAACTTATTGCAATCACATCCTTTACATGCATCTGTGTTTCTGTTATGTTTTTCATGTGTTTAATGCCATTTTTAGTTGTTCCTTCAACAGCTCAGTGTGATGGATTTAAAGCCCTCTAGGAAATCCACCTTCAGCATTGATGAAAACCAAAAGGTATTAATAGATATTTTGTGCAAGCAATATAATGGTCTTAAAGAAGTGCATTTTAATGCGCGGAGCCTCAACAGCGAAAAACAGGATTATGTTAGGGATATATTTGGTGAATCGGATATAGATGTCATTTGCGTCTCAGAAACTTGGTTTAATACTGATGTTTCTGATTTTTACTATACTATACTAAACTACAGTCTTACTCGTGTTGATCGAACAACAAAAAAAGGGGGAGGGGTTGCAATCTATTGTAAATCCACCCTGAAAATCAGTGTTTTAGCAGTATTAAAAAACAATGATACAGAATTCATTATTGCCGAAATTTCAGACAATGTAACAAAAATACTAGTGTCCTGTGTATACAACCCTCATAGATGTTGCATGTTAGATTTGTTTTTTGTTGAGGTGTCTTTGTTTATTATTGTGTATGAGCGTTTTGTTATATGTGGTGACTTCAATGTCAATTTGCTTATGAATGACTCATATGTAGGGCTGCCAGATATCTCTGTTGCCAAACCGGGACACTTAAGGCGGGGAGAGGCCTCTCGCTACCTTCCCTTTCGTTTCGACAAAAATTACGTACGAAAGGATGTAGTAAAATTTTATTTTGACAAACAAAAACAAAAACATAAAAACATGAGATCATGAGATCATTACAACGTACACCAGCAAAACAAAACAATTTATCATAACTAAAGCACAGAGAATTTTTCACAATGCATGTACATACCTTTTTTGTTCCTTATAAAAATACAGTTTATACTAGGTACATCAGAAAACTTAAAAATAAAATTTCTAAACTTTGTGCAAAACTCGGGAAAATGAAAAAAATTTGCATACAAATTCGCAACTTTCTATTCAGACTTTTTTATACAAATTTTGAAAATGAAGTTTTGCAGTCCATAAAAATTAATTGATTTTTGGTCTTGATTTACTGGAGTTTCTTCCATACAAACTATGTTCGACATTTTTTTGTATGTGCTGTCAGCAAAAAATAAATAATTGCAAAAAATCAACGAAATTTTCTGGTAACTTCAGACTTGCACTTTACTAATTGGCTCAAAAACTACATTTTCAAAATTTTTCTGAAAGATCTGATTAGAAATTGTGATCAGATGAAAGAGTCTAAGAGCCAATAATTTTGTACGGCACGGTACTTATAAGTAATCTAGGTTTCACGAAAGAAAAAAAATTAAATGCAAGGTAACATTAAAATATCAGTCAGTTGTTTCGTTGCTGTGAGCTTGTTTCAAAACTTCTGGCTTTTGCTTAATATAATTGTAAAACTATGTGCATGTCATTTTAACGTATTTAGGTACATACTTATATTAATCATCAACTATTGCTTGTGCAAAACGTGCTAAATTAAAAAAAAAACGCATACGGAAGAGCAACAACCCAACGCGTAATAAATTTAAGTATAAAAATTTTAGTATTTAGTATAGAATTATTCAATTGAAATACGCCAATATTAAAATTAAGCGCTTTGCACTTAACGGATGCTTTTTCATAATTAAGTTAAAAAAAAATATTTAAATTCCATGCTGCCTGTAATGGGATGTGAACCCTGACGCTCTGGAAATTAGCAAATTGTGGCAAGCATCTTCGTGCACTCAGCTACAGCCAGACATGTAAATGTGCATTCAAATGTCCCGTTTGATTCAACACCACATGTGCGTGGTATGAAAGTATTGTTTTTAAATACGAACATTTTAAAACGATAATCAAATAAAAAATATTCATATTTACTATGCGTTATTTCCCCCAGTAAATTCATAAAATTTTTCTTAATATTACAACGCGTATTATTTTTCAGTGTAGTCATTTTTATGCAAAATTTGTGCAATCAAATCGAAAACCGGACACTTAAACGAAACCCGGGACATTTTAAGGTTGGACCGGGACACCGGGACATATCCGGGGAAACCGAGACGTCTGGCAGCCCTACTCATATGCCAATAAACTACTGGATCATGTATCTGCTGCAGGTCTTGCTATGGTTAACAAATTTATACCAACAAGATTTGCGCACAATTCAAGTCCTAGTTTGTTAGACCTCATTATCACGTCAAGCCTCGACCATATTCTTAAATTTGACTAAATACGTTTTATCTCCGACCACGACCTAATATTTTGTGCACTAGATGTAACGTTTAATTGTCCTGCTGATAGTGTTACTTCTATGTATGTATCGTGATTTTAAGTCTGTAAATGTTAATAATCTGAATGATGATCTGTTAAATGTTGACTGGGATGCATGTTGGTTTGTTGAGTCGGTAGATGCCAAACTTGACTTTTTAAATAAAACTATGTCTGAATTATTTGATGTCCATGTTCCCGTCGTACTGTTCACGTTTTGAATAGCTCTTGTCCGTGGTATAATAGTAATGTCAGATCAGCTATAAAAGCTCGTAATAGATTATATGCGAAATGGAAAAGAACCAACACGGACTTCGCTTGGTCGCAATACAAACTTGCCCGAAATAAAGCTACCACCATTGCAAGACAAGCGAAACGGTTGTATTGTAACTCCAAGTTGAACCCATCACTACCATCAAAAGACTTATGGCGTAATTTGAGAAACCTTAATGTGCATAGAAAACATAAAACTGAGTGTAAAATTGACCCTAACATTCTAAATGAATATTTTATTGGAGCCTGCAAAAGCCGCGACAGTTCTCTAGCTCAAAACTTCAATAGCCATTTTGCACTGAGAGAAAAGTTTCAATTTAATGGAGTTAAGGCGATGTCAGATAAAACTTTGTAGCTTCGCTTGACATTTCGAACTTTGTCAGCAAAGCGAAGAGCGCGAAAGATATGTCACAATAGACGCTTTGACAACACTTGCGTATTGTTTGTTTAATTGTTGAAATTGTGGTATCAATTTAGTTTTGTGAAATAAAATACATAAAAAATGTTTTTTGATGAAATTTTGGATCTTTTATTAATAGTGCTGTTGATGCATGAAGCCTTAGAGTGCCTAAAAAGAAGTTCAAGACGACGGTTTTGGGTGAGGAGGCTTTACCAAGACCGTGACACTACGGGCCTCTTTGCTTCCAGCTTCGAAGAAATGTATGAAAACGATCCGGAGCAATTTAAAAACAGTGTCCGCTTGACTCCCAATGTTTTCGATTTATTGCATGAACTTTTAAAGGAACGGCTTACTAAAATATCAAACAGGCCACCGATTTTATCAAAATGCCGTCTTTTCTTAACGCTTACGTGAGTTATGATGGTTTACACCAATTTCATAAAATATCTACATACCTAGAGCACATCCAAATTTTAATAAATCGTTTACATATACAGTTATCTAGCACATGGAGACAGCAAGCAAACCCTTGCTACAGCTTTTAAAATGGGGCGCTCCACTGTAGTAACCATTATCAGCGAGGTCTGTGAAGCAATTTGGCAGGAGCTGGGTGGTATTTACCTGTCGGTTCCACAGAAACATGAGTGGAAACGCATTGCTTCGGATTTTAACACCATGTGGACCTTTCCGAATTGCATCGGGGCGGTTGATGGAAAGCACATAACGATATCATGCCCCCCCAATTCCGGATCATTATTTTATAATTATAAAGGAAGCTACTCTATTGTTCTTCTGGCTACTTGCGACGCCAACTATACATTCACAACTGTTGACATCGGGGCATATGGTTCCCAAAGTGACGGCGGAGTACTATGGCACTCTGGCTTTGGGCAACGGCTTCTAAGTGGCAACCTAGATTTACCAGAGGATGATTTTCTCCCTGGGACTTGTATCAAATTCCCGTACTTTGTGGTAGGAGACGCAGCATTCCCTCTTAAAAATTGCATACTGCGGCCATACCCGGGTTTGTACTTCTCGTCTTATACATAGGGTGAAATCCTAAATATAAAAATGCAAGGCAGCAGACTTTTATTTCCAAACCCCATTAAAAGAAAAGGTGGAACCTGCGCAACCTAGTTGAAAACTGTCATCTTACCGTGGTTGCGCACATTTGGCAACACAATCTACGGAGGTTTAGAAATAAAGAGACTGATGCTTTTCATTTTTATATTCATTCATACATATACATATATCAGCGAACTAAATCTTATATTCCTGTGTTTAATATGTTTTTTAATTTAGGATCCCATTTGCCACCTGATCGCGAAATCTTTAATAAGCGGCTTTCACGAGCGCGAAGAGTCATAGAAAACGCGTTTGGCATTTTGTGTGCTCGCTGGAGAGTTTTGATTTCTCCCTTGTTTATGCATCCTAAAACTGCAGAAAAAGTCGTGAAAGCAACAGTGATACTGCACAACTTCGTGAAATTCTACGACGGAAGTTTTTGTCCACCGGATTTTGTAGATCAATATAATGGTGAAGAAATTATTAACGGGCTCTGGCGGAAGGAAGTTTCCATGCCGTTGCGAAACCACGGTCGCATGACTTGCAATAACGCAACACGAAGTGCTTTTGCTTTAAGGGACCAGTTGAAAGACTATATTATGTCGCATCCAATTTAATTTTTTTATAAACATATACAGGGTGTCCCGCAACTACGTACTTTTTTAAATAGGAAGCCAAACATAAGTTTATCTTCCACCACGTCAAGTTATTTAAGTTTGAAATTATCCAACATTATCATTACACTGTCGAATTTGCTAGTATATAAACTTACGTTTCTAAATTTCGCAATTCGGTGGCAGAATGTATTTAATGTATAGACCTTTTAATAGTTTGACTTCTTTTACCAGCACTCCACCAATTTAACATCGGTGCGGATGGCATCCGTCGGATACCGGAATAGGCATGAATATTTTCAAATAATGTAAAATAAGTATAATACAAATACTTAATTTATGATTTTTCTCATTTTGTCTTCTGTTCATTCGTTTTATTTAATGCTTTAATATGCATATACAATGTATACATATATAATTCATAAACTTATGTACATATGTAGGTATATCTGCAGCCCGCGGCAAACGAGTGTTAACTATTTAGCGTATGTTTGTTTAATGTTCATTATTTTTCTAAAGGACATTGTCTAAAAAAAACACACGAATCGAAATTTCCAACTTTATACAAAAATGAAAAAAGCCACAATTTTTTCATTACAAAGGGCCGTATGAATAAAAAATAAGCAATTGCTTTTCAGAACATTTACTCGATTTATTCAAACAAAATTGAAGTAAAAGGTATGAAATTTTAAGAAAAAGCAATTGCCTAGTTTTTATTCATACGGCCCAATCCCAAGGTTTTTAATTATAATTTGTATAAAAATGTCTGGTACGCAGTCTTATAGCTTATTAAATTTTATTAACATGGTATAACACATTTTCTTCTAACATAAAACTGCCAGCTAAAAAAATTATAAAAAATCAACGGGATTTTCAGCGACTTCCAACTTGCACGTTATTTATTAAAATTTAATAACCTATAAAACTGCGTACCAGAAAATTTTCTTCTTATTATGATTAAAAACTTTGGGATTGGATAAAAAAGTGTAGCTTTTTTTAATTTTTGTATAAATTTTGAAATTTAGATTTTGTTTATCGTTTTGTAGGGGACTGTATCTAGTTATTATTTTCTAGTGTTCGAAAACAAAAGAATTTCTTTAAAATAAACTTAAATTTTAAAAACAAATAGTGGTATTTCAATTGTATTATTAATGTATTGACGAGCTTTCTCATAGGAACCATGTAGGTTTCGCAAATTGCAGCGATTTCAAATCGTACGTATTTTTTTTAAATAGTTAAAAAACTAAGCAATTCAACATTCAGTGGTCGAACAAATTATAGCCGTACCACATTTTCACTATAATTTTGTCGACCACTGCACACTCTTACAATGAGTAAAAAAAGTTCGCGAAACTTAAAATATTATTAAATATGGGTGTTTCCATGGGAAGGTCCACCACGACAAAAAAAAAAAAAGTCTTATATCTAACGTATTTATGGGCCGATTTGTCTGCTTTTTAAAATATATACTGGCTATGTAAGTAGAATCATGTTTGCGTAAAATGGTCTTGCTAGGTGGCGACAAGGTCCAGATATTTCGAAAAACCGTATTTATGGTCCGAAAAAGTGGTTCCTCTCACGTATATCTTACGAACCAACTAAATACGATAATACTACAAATGAAAGGCAATGAAATTTTCCATAACCCGTATATACATCACTTTTCGATAGGACTGATAGTTTCTGAGAAATTAATTAACAAAAAAAAAACAGTCGTAATTTTTTTATTTTTCTCCTGTTAAAGTTTGAACTTTTTCATCAAAAAAACAAAAAAATTTAGTTATTATTTAATTTCTCAAAAACTATCAATCCTGTCGAAAAGTAATATATGTGTACATATACACACACCTAGATATAAAGTGGCCTAACTAATAAATCAGATCCGGAATATAACTGCTTTTTTATCGCACAGATTCAACGCAATTATTACAAAAACAGGTATAACAATAGTTTCATAGTTAGTGTACATATATAGTCCTATAAACGTCCTAAGTTTTTTTTGTTAACTTTCTTTAGATCTAGATGTGCGATATAACACTTATAATTATGAAGCCACTTCAATCATAAACATTAAAGTTAACATAAAAATACTGTCTGGTTATGACGGTAAGCCACAGAAATATAAGAGTTTAATTTGCGTTGTGGATGTACGCCAGCAGCTCAATTTTGAGCCTATCTTGTACATCTTCCGGTTTTTTCTGGAGACATTCATCCAGCATTTGCAAAAAGGTGGCATTTTTGGATGAAACATGTTCCTTTTTTGCAGCAATGACAGATTCAACGCTGCCACACAGTCGGTTAAATCGCTCATGTGACTCTTCCTCCAGGTGCTTACGTTTGACGCCTTTTACAGCTTTTGGTGTCTCTATGCTGGACTGGCTGTCGTTAAGTGAGACTTCCACGCATTCGTCAAGCACCTCTGTAGTTTCGCCCGGTGGTGGAAGTTGTGAATTGCTTGTGGATGGTTGATCATCACTGCACCATTGAAAATTTGATTGAGTTCTGCAAAGAGAATGGATTGCAAAATTAAGAAGAAATAATATGTTATGCATGTACATATATACATATGTGTGAAGCTTACTTTCTCGGAGCAACGTGGTTTTTTAAGAAACGCATTGATTCCAAATAGCACCATTCACTTCTATCTTCGGCAGCGGCCCCTGACTTAGGTTTAACCATCGATACCTCTCTTACGAATCGGTCACGTAGTGATTTGCACCTGGTTTTACAATACTCCTCTATTGCGAAAAAAGCCATAGTTTATAATCAGCCTCACATGAAGGCTTGGCGTATACACATAAATACCAACCGCTTACCAGAAATTCCTGTGGATGATGCTACTGCTTGCCATGCTCGCTCCTTGAGGTACTTATTTCTAAATAAATTAGACCCTTTGTCGAAAAGACATGGGTGCAACTTTATCGTCTCAATAAGCTTCTCTTCCATTTTTCAATTGCTGAATAATTTGTATTGACCACTTCCAAATAGTTTTAATAATTAATTTTGTTATTTAACTTGTATTTTACAATTTTCTATACACATTAAAATCTACCGCCAATTCAAGAAAATACGCGCGAAGTGAAGAACGAAGAAGAAATTAAAACAGCTGATTGTCAACGCGCGCAAAAAGATGGGAGTTGGCCATCTTTTCGCTTCGCGCTGCAGCTGAAACAATCTATGTAACATTCTTTGTGCATTTTCATACATTTCATCTTATCTGTCAAAGCGAATCTGTCACGCAACGCCAAGCAAAAGTTCTATCTGACATCGCCTTTACAGAAGCAGAAGTTATGAAGTCAATTATGAGCGTCAAGTCTAATGCTATTGGTGAGGATGGTATATCCTTGAAGTTTGTGAAACTTGTGCTGCCATTCATTCTAGGAACTCTCACACTGTATATTCAATCACTGCTTCACAACTTCGTGTTTTCCAACGGAGTGGAAAAAAGCTGTGATTACTCCTGTCGCTAAAAAGAATACCGCCTCTGAACCAGAGTTGTGAAAAATGCATTAATTTTTTAATGCATTAATGGTATTTAAAGCAATAATGTTAATGTAAAAAATTAATGCATTAATTTATGAAATTTAATGCAAATGAATATTTCAATGCATTAATTCTGAAAAATGTAATGCTAATGCAATTTTTTTTCATTAAATTATCCAAGCTAATGCTAATGAAAAAATTTTAATGCACTTAATGTTTAATACTTTTGCTCGTTTGCATTATTAAAAACCATTAAATTTTTTTTCTAGTGAAATATAAATAACCACTTTTGGGAGGACTTGGAATAATTACTAATAGTTTTTTCAGCTTCACTATATTATGTGTATTTTTAGAACAATTTTTCTAAACATTGTTAGATGCTTTATGAAAATAAAAGCCAATGTGAATGCAACTCAGAGGGCTTTTGTAGATTTTTATGTTGATTGTTGATACATACCGATTACATATATTATGAACCAAAAACGGATAGATAGCCAGTTTAGCAGCGCATGTACACGACTGAGGACCTATATATATATATATATATATATATATTGGCGCTTACACACAGATATGTTAGTGTTTGGCCGAGCTTCTCCTCTGACATGTGGCGTGCGCCTTGATGTTGTCACACAAAGCGGAGGGACCTACAGTTTTACGCCGACTCCGAACGGCGATTGTATTTTTATGAGAAGCTGTTATTCATGGCAGAAAGGCTCAACCCCTACTCTGATCTAAATCAATCAATAAACCGTTTTTTAGTTCCATTTGACAATGTGTTTTTACCTATTTAACGACAAATGCCATTGAACTTGACTTAGTGAAAACCAGCCTTAACGTTCGTCACGTATCTTTTTTGACCTTAAAATTCTACCCTCAACGTCAGCAAAGAATTTTTACTTTAAAATAAGATTAGTTAATGGGATTTTAATACTTGTTATAATTTTAATGCGATAAATTATTGCAATAGAATTCATTTAAACATTTTAATGTTAATACAAAAAATTCATTAGCATTATTTCTTCGGAATTAATGCATTGAAATTTCCATTTACATTAAATATCAAAAATTAATGCATTAATTTTTTCCATTTACATTAAAATGCTATGCATTAAAAAATGTAATGCATTTTTCACAACTCTGCTCTGAACCTAGTAACTACAGGCCAATTAGCATTTTGCTAGTATTCTCAAAAGTGTGTGAGTCTTTGATGGCAGAGCAAATTTCATAATTCGTTCAAGAAAATAATCTTTTATCTCCGTTGCAGTCACGATTTAGACCTAAGCATAGCTGCTCTACTGCTCTACAGCTATGTTGAAAATACAGTTTGACAAAGGTGACTTAACTCTTCTCTGCCTTCTTGATTTTACTAAGGCATTTGATTTAGTAAATCATGACCTGCTTTGTACAAAGCTTAAATATTATTTTGGATTCTCCGATAGCTCTGTTAAACTTGTGACCAGCTACCTTGAGGGAAGAAGTCAGAAGGTGATGTGCAAATCTGCGTCATCAAAATCTTGTATTGTTGCCTCCGGTGTGCCGCAAGGCTCCGTGCTTGGTCCCCTTTTGTTTAGTCTTTTTGTCAATGATGTATTTTCTGTGTGTCAGTATGTTAATGTCCATGCCTATGCTGACGACATTCAATTGTATTTGTCTAGCCGTGTCGGTCTTGTTGAGGATTTGTGTTATAAAATGAATAGTGACTTGTCTGCAATATCGCAATGGTCCCGTGATAATTGTCTTTGCGTAAATGCTGCGAAGTCATATGTGTTACCCATTAGTAACAATGTTGTACATGTTGAGGATATTCCAAAAATGTTTGTTGGTAATAGTGTCCTTACGTTTACTGACAAAGTTAGAAACTTAGGCTTCGTTGTTAACTCTATGTTGAGCTGCTCTGACCATATTAATAAAGTTGTTAGTAATGTGTATTTTGTTTTACGTAGATTGAGAATGTCAGCTTCGTTTACGCCTTTAGAGACTAGAAGAAAGCTAGCAATTCAACTCATTGTACCACACATTACGTACTCTGACCTTGTGTATAGTAAACTTGATTCTACTTCATATCACAAAATTGATGTTGCGTTCAATAATGTTACGTGTTACTTTTATGGCCTCAAAATATATGACATCTCTTTCTGGATGCAGCATTTTTGAATATCTTTCGGCCAGAAACTGTATATATATTTACAAGCTCATACAATTCAAAACACCGAAATATCTTCACGAGAAGTTAGAATTACCTAAGTCTTGTAGGCATCAAAATCTAATTATCCCTAAATTTTCCTATTTGCCCTCATCTCGGCTATTTTTTGGTAATGCTGTGAGGCTGTGGAATTCCATTCCTGATACTATCAAAGCTGCGTTGAATAGGAGCAACTATAAAAAAGTAATACACGAGTATTTCACTTCTGTGCGATAAATGTGATTGCAATTTAACAGTTCTCCTTTCCCTATTTATTTCTCTATCTTTGTTTTTTTCTTCTTTGTGTTTTTCTTTTTGGGTTTACCAACTGCAATGAGTGACTATTAAATGACTACTATTTAATCTTAGTTTTATTTAATTTTTATTTTTTATTTTATTTTTAAATTTAAGATAACTGTTTGTATTTAAATTTATTGCAATTATATTTTTACGTTAGATTTAAGATAAGTCTGTTTCAGACGATTTTGCGTTTTAATTTTGTAATTGTAAGCTGTTGATGTACTACAAAAGACTGAGTCTGACAGGTACAACCTCATTTCTTAAATAAATAAATAAATAAATAAATAAATAAATATACCTTACTATAAGCGCGCACCATAGATACGTCTGCGTATCAAATTTCGATTTCACCTGACATATGGTTCTGAAGTTATAGCTGATACAATTTTCCACGCCTATGGGATGTGCCACGCCCCCTTTTGCAAACTCATTTATATATGCCTTACTATAAGCGCCTACCATAGATCAGAGCTGTGTAATGATTGAATCAATCGAGTGTGCATTCTCTTTTTATTCGTTTAAAAAATGTGATTGTTTGATTTTAAAAATTTAACAACCACTCTTGAGATTGGTTACAAATTGCAAACACAAAATATGTAGTGTGTTATGGAATGGATGAGATCCATTCACATAGCGAATGTGAATGCAAAAAAAAACTCAATCATGTATGATTGTACGTTTATGTGATTGCAATCTGTCATTATCTTTCAGTACTAATACTATTTGTTGTATCTGGTTTGAGTTTTTTGTACTCAAAATCATGATAAAAAAATAGCAAGGTAGAACCGCTGAGAGGAATTTTTCAAATTCAAAAACAACAACAACTTTGAACAATTCCTCTCAATTTTATACGATTTTAAAATGTTGGCAAACTTCAAAAAAAAATCATGGCCGACGCATTGAGAGAACGGTTTTACCTTACTACAAGGCATAACAAGGTAGAAGTGATTTCGACATTTCTCTCTTTTGAACTGCGACTAAAATGTCAACTCTTAACCCAAAATTCAAAATTTTAATTTTTTTAATATAAATTTTCAGCTGTGCGACTGATTTTAAATACATAATAAAACGAAAAGGAATTATGGGCGGTATGTTGTGTTTGACAAGAGCCAGGACAACAAACTTGTGCGTTATTTTAAAACTCCGAAGTATCAATGCTTCATTAGGAGACTCTTCACGTGTGCGCGAAGACCATTTTAGTGCCAGTGACTTTATTTGTTGCCCATCGCAGCCGGGTATTTCTAAGCGGACGCGTTTGTTCCCAGGTGCAGGAATTATTATACCGAATATGAAGAGAAAATCTTCCACTCATATACATGGATAGACCAAATTTCAAATGGTGGTCTAACAACACCTAAACCGGAATTCCTTGTTGACATAAAGAAACTGAAATTAACTTTTAATAAATCTAATGGAAAGGAAATTTTGAATTGCAAAAATTTAATTGCTGAATTAATGAAGTTAAAATCTGATGTAAATTTAGAATAATCAAACCTATTCTTAAATGTCTAATATACTTTAGAATTAAGTGTTTGAATAAAAAAAAAAATAAATGCTTAAAAACATTGGGCTAGTAAAAGCAAGAAAATTGCCAAAATGGGTTTATAAATGAGTCTGTTTCACTTAGTGTGTAATTTTGTGTAAGTATGAGTTTCCTCATTTACATTAAAACGAAAAGGCAATACCTAAAATGAAACTGATATCCCATTGAAAACTATGTCAAAAAGATGCTTTTCACT